GGTGGGGGGGGGGGGGGGGCGGAGGGGGGAGGGGTGGGGGAAATCCAGGGGTCTGTCTCACTCGGTCGGTTGTCTTAGTTCGTATGCATATCTCAGTGCCTCCACATATTGATTCAGGGGCGTCATTACGCGTCTTAAGGGGATGGGGGTTTTATTAAAGATTTTTTTCTTCTTTTTTCTTTCATTATTGGAATAATTTTTTTTCTATTTTTGCTCTGGGAGGATTAAAATTTTTTTTGTGGGGGGAGGGGTAATTGGGGTAATTAATGCTCGGGGGAGGGGATTTTTTATTTATTTATTTATTTATGTTTTTGGGGGGGAAGGGGGAGTTGATTGTAATTTGGGGTTGCGAGGAATTAATCAATGATCTTAGAATTGAACAGGTCAATTTTTTAATTATTCCGATTGCATTGATAAGGGAAGGTATTGAGGTTATGTTAGGGACGGGCAGAGTTGTCGTTTTAAGGACGATGAATTATTTTTCAGAATTTTGGGTGCCAGGATTTTTTAGTAGTTATTTAATTATTGCGCGTATGAATCTCAATATTTTCAACTGATCATTTTTATTCGATTGATCATTGAATTTCAATTACTGGATAATTTTTTCCCGCGAATTTCTCAGCATTTTTATTGTTAAATAATGGGTCTCGGTGAATGTTCCCCTGATACTTCAACAAAGTTGACTCAAATTATAGTGAAAGAATTCCAGCGAGATTGTGGTGTCATCCAGCGATTGTCTAAAAAAACTCGAATGACTTTTGCCTCCAGAAATACGATACAATTTACCGACTGATGGTAACGAAGTTGAAAATTTTGTTTTCGCATTCGTCGGTAAAACCGGTATCTGTATGGGTGTGTCGATAATTTACTGACAGTTGATAAGAGAGTCAATAATATAATCGTCAGTCGATACAATCATTTAACTTTTTTTATCGTCAGCAAATTCTTTAAAAACTTCTCCGAGATAATTATTAATGACAATTATTATCAATTATAACTATAATAAATTACACTATTAATTATTTTAAATACATTTTTTTGCTAATTTTTTTTAGTAATTCAATTATTAACAATTATAATTAATTATAATTATATAAGTGAATTTTTGATCATGATAATTAATGATAAAATGATGACTAATTGCAATTCCTCTGTTCATTAAATAAGATGTCATAATTACAATTAACCTTCTTCTCAAACGCAATAAAGAAAGGGAATTTCTGGAATTCTTTTTTCTCATTCGTCGGTAAAACCGGTATCTGCATAGATGTGTAGATAATTTATTGACAGCTGATAAGAGAGTCAATAATATAATCGTCAGTTGATACAATTATTGAATTTTTTTATCATCAGCAAGTTCTTTAAAAACTTCTACGAGATAATTATTAATGACAATTATTATCAATTATAACTATAATAAATTACACTATTAATTATTTTAAATACATTTTTTTTCTAATTTTTTTAGTAATTCAATTATTACCAATTATAATTAATTATATTTATATAAATGAATTTTTGATCATGATAATTAATGATAAAATGATGACTAATTATAATTCCTCTGTTAATTAAATAAGATGTCATAATTACAATTAACCTTCTTCTCGAACGCAATAAAGAAAGGGAATTTCTGGAATTCAATGTTTTTTTTTGTAAAAAGAATCCGTCCGTTGATGATGACCTTAAATAAACCATCTTGATTGACCTCTTTCCACTGAAGGCTCGCAAAAAAGGTTATCCAGTTACAAATTTATTCAGAATCAATTAAAACCTATTCAGTCACTGGATTCTATGACGATTAAACACGCGATCAATTCTTTCACCTTTTGATCAGCCACTACAACAATAAAAATTGGCGAAGATTTCATCATAATCGAATCATTAACACTTCATACTTGTTGAGTTATTGCTCATACTTTCGTCTAAATCATCTCCAATTAATTATTCAAATTGTGAGGAATATTTTCGTTCGCTCAGTCGTTCAATTAATTAATTCATTGATTAATTTATTCAATGTCATCAAAGTCATGAAAGCAAATCATCAACACCTGATGATGTTGTTCATCGTTTTTGAGGTAATTAATTTTTAAAAATAAATTACTACAATGATTTCACGACAATTGTTATTACAAAATTGCAGAATCATCTCGTCAAAAGGTTTCTCTGCAGCTTCAGTCGTCATTGAACACTGATTAATACTTGATGACTTTTTTTGCTTCCTTTTGCGATAATTAGTTTCTCTATCAATCATCGGAGTTACGAAGTAATCATTAATAATTAACGATGCTCTCGGTTTTTTACTTCACCAATTGATTTTTTCAAAACAACTGTTGCAATAATTTCGAGATAATGGCAGAATCATTTCTTCGGAGGGAATTCATCAAACAGTCATTAACACGTGATTACATTTTAATTCGCTTTTGCGCTAATTGATTTAAAAAATGAAGTAGTAAAATAATTTCGAGGTAATTCCTGTAATTAAAAAATTGCAAAATCATTTCTCCCCAATCAACATATCATCAGTTATCAACAGTTGATAACGTTTAATATTTTCTTTTGCACTAGTCAATTGAAAAAATGAATGATTAGAATAATTTCCAGGTAATTCTCGTATTTATTATTTAGTTCCATCATTTATCAGAATGAATTGAAAAAATTTATGTCATGAAAAAATTCTACAATCATTTCCCTGAAATATTTTGCAGATAAATTCATCATTAAACAATCATTGAAAAAATCATCAACACTTGATGACGTTTTATATTTTCTTTTGCAATACTTAATTGAAAAAAAATGAATGATTAAAATAATTTCGAGGTAATTCTTGCACTTATTATTTATTATTATTATTTATTATTATTATTATTATTATTATTATTATTATTATTATCATCATCATCATTTCTTTCCCCAATCATTCCTCAGAAATATTTCGCGCATAAATTAATCATTAAACAATCATTGAAAAAATCATCAGCCCTTATTAACGATTTTACTTTCTCTCTGCGTTAATTAAAATAATTTCGCGCTAATTGTTAAAGTAATTCAAAAAAAATTGCAAAATCATTTCTCTTAAATGACTCAACATGGGTTTGGTTTTCCCACCAGAAAGAGGTATGCAACGAAAAATCATCGAGTGAGCGTGCAGGACCGAGCGAGTGTGCAAGGTGAGCGGGTTTTGCAAATAGGGATCGGCGAGAATATGAGACACACTCCAGACCCCATACGAAAAATCAGAATGCATTTTTCGATTGACCCGTGCAGAAATTTTTTTTTTCAACCTCTTTCTACAATTGTTGACAGCGGGGGG